TTTTACGGCTCAACAGCTTCAAGAAAAATGTAGAGAGCAAAACCAATATCTGTATAAAGCGTTTATCGACCTGACTAAGGCCTTCAACACTGTAAATCATAATGCTCTGTGGACTGTCCTTCTGAAAATCAGCTGCCTAGATAAATTTGTGAACATCCTTCGGCTCCTCCATGATAATATGACAGCAACAACCACAGATAACAATGGCTCTCAAAGTGAACCAATCACAGTGCGAATAGGCGTTAAACAAGGTTGTGTTATTGCCCCAACTCTATTTATTATTTTCTTTGCCATGATCCTACATATTGTCGAAGGGAAACTCCCCACTAGGGTAGAAATCATATACTGAACAGATGGAAAGCTCTTTAACTTGAGTAGGCTGAAAGCAAAGAATAAGGTTACCATAACTTCCATCATAGAGCTTCAGTATGCTGATGACAATGTAGTATGTGCACACTCAGAGGATGACCTCCAAACCATCCTAAATATCTTCACAGAAGCCTACAGAAAGCTTGGCCTATCGCTCACCATCCAAAAAACAAAGTGCTGCACCAACAAGCACAAAACAACCCCTCTGCAGTGCCACAAATCCAACTCAATGATGTAGTGTTGGAAAGTGTCAATCACTTCTCCTACCTGGGCAGTTACCTTCCCACAAGGGCCAACACTGATGCCGAAATCTAGCATTGCTTGAGCTCTGCGAGTGCAGCTTTCTCCTGATTGAAGTGCAGAGTGTTTGAGGACCGGGACATTTGCAGGAAAACCAACATGCTTGTTTACAAAGCTATTGTACTACCAACCTTACTGTGAAACATGGACCACTTATAAACATCATCTCCAACTGCTCTAAAGATTCCAACAATGGTTTCTCTGGAAAAAAATTTACATATCACTTGGGAAGACTGGCGAACTAATGCCAGTGTACTGGAAGAAGCAAAGATCATGAGTGTCGAAGTAATGATTCTTCAACATCAGCATTGTTGGACCAGTCATATTGTTTGGATGCCTGATTATCACCTTCCAAAGCAACTACTCTATTACAAACTTTAAAATGGAAAGCATAATGCTGGTGGTCAACAAAAGAAGTTTAAAGACTCTTGCAAGGCAATTTTTTTAAAAAATGTAGTATAAACACTAACAATTGGGAAACACTGGCCTGCGAGCGCTCCAATTGGAAAACAGCCTTTACCAAAGGTGTTGTGGACTTTGAAGACACTCAAACTCAGGATGAAAGGGAGAAACAAGCTAAGAGGAAGGCACATTTGGCAAACCCTCACCATGATCAACTCCCGCCTGGAAACCTATGTCCCCACTGCGGAAGGACGTGTGGATCTAGAATTGGCCTCCACAGTCACTGTTAAGACCGTGTTCATGGAAGACAATCCTCCTTAGCTACAAGTGATCACCAAAAAATAAGAAGAATTGGGTTGTTGTTTTGATTTTGATTATGTACTTTGTGCTCTTATTTTCTGATTTTATCCTGTGAACTGCCCTGAGACTTGCAGGTAGAGGGCGGTGTATAAATTCAATAAATAAAATAAAATTAAAATAAAATAGATAAATCCTTGTGCCCCTCAAAAACCTCTGCACAGCAGCACACTATAGCCTAAGTGCTCTGCAAAGATAAGGATCACAAGCATTGCTCTACACAATGTTAGGACTGCCATACGTCCAGATTTTCCCGGACATGTCCTAGAATCGGGCAGCATAATGACTAATGACGTCTGGGTGGATTTTTGCAAAATCAGCAAAATGTCCGAGAAAAACCAGGCGTATGGCAAGGGAGGTATTTAAAAATAAATGAAAAATCCAAAAAAAGTCCCATAACTTTTTTTTGGGGGGGGGGGGAATATGGCAACACTTTTTTATCTGGTTCCACCCACCACTGACATGTGCTCCCCCAAAAGTTTCCCACCGCAGCGACTGGGTCACAAGGGTGATTATTACCAAGATCACAGCAGGTGTGGAGTGGAAAATCAACCCCCAATTTCGTGCCCTGCTGTGGTTGGAGGAAAATCTCTCCTCTAGGTGTGCTGTTTGCATTGGGAGGAAATCCCTCATTGCTGCCTTGTAAAGACAGATAGATAGATGAGCAAACCAATAAATTATATTATTATGGTTATCTGGATTGTTATGTACTGAGTTGAATAGGATCCAGAACGCAGCAGTCTGATTGGTCCTAGAACAATAGGATTCAGAATGCAGCAGTCTGATTGGTCCTAGAGCAATAGGATCCAGAATGCAGCAGTCTGATTGGTCCACAGGAGCCACCCAATCCAGCTCCAGGTGGAAGTGAATCCGCAACCTGATTGGCCTACAGGAGAATCCCGGAATTAGCCAATCATGTGGGGCCCATTGTGTAAATAATGTATATAAAGCAGACATTCTGGGGGAACTTCCATTCCTCCTCACCACTATGAGCTGAATAAAGAGCATGAAATCCACTCTCGACTCCGAGTATATTTCATGGATAGAGGGCAGTGAATCAACGGGAGATGCATTTTAAAATGAAAGAGTGTGCCAAAACAACCAACTCTTGGAAACAGTTTGGGCTTTAGTAGTTTTAGACACAAAGGGAGTGCATGATTGGGGGTGGGGTGGGGTGGTGGAACTAATCCTTGTATGCTTAACAAAATGTATGGGGGGGGGGAGACTCAATTTATTGACAAGGGAGAGAAGAATAGCAGAACTACAATGCAGTATTCAACACACACAGCCTGATAAATGGATTGGAACCTACTTAGGATAAAAGGAATTCAAAAGTTCTTTTTATTGAGTTTTTCAGCATCTCTCTGAATCTAGCACCTCCAGGGAAAAGCATCTTGATAGGCTGAAGCAGGAACTGTATGGGAAGGGAGGTTTGTCCATTTATTTCAGCTTGCCAGAAAATCCATTGGCAGCCTCCCTTTTTTCATTCTGTAATGCAGGAAATCTATCATGGTTAAGCAATGGCTGCCAAAAATGGAGTTCTCCTTAATTCACAGCACTAGGCTGAGCTGGCAACCTACATATAGTGGTACCTCAGGTTACATATGCTTCAGGTTACATACACTTCAGGTTACAGACTCAGCTAACCCAGAAATAGTGCTTCAGGTTAAGAACTTTGCTTCAGGATGAGAACAGAAATCGTGCTCTGGCGGCGCGGCAGCAGCAGGAGGCCCCATTAGCTAAAGTGGTGCTTCAGGTTAAGAACAGTTTCAGGTTAAGAACGGACCTCCGGAACGAATTAAGTACTTAACCCGAGGTACCACTGTAATATATAAACACACAGAGGCTCTCCTAGCCTTCCACCCAAATTTTCCACATTGCTGTGATACCATGGAATATTCACAAATATTCCAAATGCTGAGGAAAGTAGACCTTGGAGTCACCCACTGGGCTGTAGATTCTGGACCGACAGAAGAGGTACTTCTTCTTGTTTCACATAATTAACCTGTGGAACTCTATTATTATTAATAGATCCGTAGATCTCAAAGCAGTTCACAACATTGCAATATCTGGTAATGGCATCAAGCTTAAGAGTGCAAAATTTTGCCAGTTCCTCGCCAACTCCCAAAATAGGGGAAGACCCACAAGCCAAATTATTCCTGTACCCATCAGTTTTTAGACTCTGGGATTAATGGTGCATCGGGCTGCCTCGTCCTTTAGATAGTAATGTGCACAACTTTTCTTTAAAATGTGGCAAGCAATCCTTAATGCGTTTGGGATCCACCCTGCTAATTCTGCTGAGTGGGTCCCTGGACATTTGCCCCAAAGTCCTACCCAGATGTTACCATGGATCCCCACAAATGATCATTATCCAGCAGATTAATTCCAATGAGCAGTCTCTCCCAATCTCTTACACACACACACAGATACACACACAGAGAGAGACAAAACATCTGTTTCAGTCTGGGCGGAAAAGATCAAAGTGGCACGGTTTAAAGAAATGAAAAAGTCTGCTGAAAAATGTTTAGGCGTTTGAAGGAGGAGTTCTTTGGAAATGAAAGCTTTCTTCAGCCTTTCACCCCAACTCCAAACCAAGCAATTCAGAAGCTAGGAGCTGCCTAAGCATGTTTGGAGCTTTCATGAGACTTTTAAACGTTCTCCTCTCATCTCTGGATCCAAGGAACAGATTTGCTTACGGTGCTGGCTTTCCATGAGATGGCCCAGACCTGAAGCTCTGTTTCTTAACCGCTCAGAAGAAAGCTCTGAACTTTACAGCCTGGAAGTATATAAACAAGATAAAGCTATGCAAAGGACCCTGTCAAAAGGAGAGAGGGGCAAAAAGGAAGATTGGTGGAAGTTAATTTATGGCGGAATGTGAGTTCTTAAAAGTACGTATAACCACCTACTGCATCCTACCAATTATACAGCTGAGGCTCCAATACTTTGGCCACCTTATGAAGAGAGAAGACTCCCTGGAAAAGACCCTGATGTTGGGAAAGATTGAGGGCACAAGGAGAAGGGGACGACAGAGGTTGGATAGTGTTCTCGAAGCTACCAACATGAGTTTTACCAAACTGTGGGAGACAGTGGAAGACAGGAGTGCCTGGCGTGTTCTGGTCCATGGGGTCACCAAGAGTAGGACACGACTAAGCAACTAAACAATAACACCAATTCTACAACACAGGGTGCTGGTTATGGGAGCAAGACTGGGTGATCTGTGTGTGTTCAGTCATCAACACCCAGTTTGCACATGGGGAGTCTGATCCAGAGGAAGTCCCACCCTACCTCCTATTCCTCTTGCCAAACTGGGACCAGTACCCCACTGGGCACCATGTTTCCTGAAGGAATGCTCCCTCCTGCATATGCTTAACTGACCCTTAAGGTCCTCCAGCCACCCATGCTAAGTGAAATTAGATAGGTGTCTTCTAAGGACAGAGCCTTTTTGGTAGTAGCACCTCATCTACGGAACAGCCTCCCCAGGAAGTTTGAACAGAGTAACTTGACTGAGTTTCCATTTCATCTGTGTCCCTGAGGAAAAAGGAGAGGAATGCACATTTTATGGCAAGCCTTTTATACATAAAATCTCTTTTATTTTTATAAAATATAATACAAAGTTGCTACACCCATCACTGGTGGAACATTAAATTATTACACAGTAATCCAGTTCTGGGCACCACAGTTTAAGAAGGACACTGACAAACTGGAACGTGTCCAGAGGCGGGCAACCAAAATGGTCAAAGGCCTGGAAATGATGCCTTATGAGGAACGGCTAAGGGAGCTGGGCATGTTTAGCCTGGAGAAGAGGAGGTTAAGGGGTGATATGATAGCCATGTTCAAATATATAAAAGGATGTCACATAGAGGAGGGAGAAAGGTTGTTTTCTGCTGCTCCAGAGAAGCGGACACGGAGCAATGGATCCAAACTACAAGAAAGAAGATTCCACCTAAACATTAGGAAGAACTTCCTGACAGTAAGAGCTGTTCGACAGTGGAATTTGCTGCCAAGGAGTGTGGTGGAGTCTCCTTCTTTGGAGGTCTTTAAGCAGAGGCTTGACAACCATATGTCAGGAGTGCTCTGATGGTGTTTCCTGCTTGGCAGGGGGTTGGACTCGATGGCCCTTGTGGTCTCTTCCAACTCTATGATTCTATGATTCTATGAAAACATGGTGCTTTTATGCTAGTATTTTTATGCTGTCCTTTGTACGCACTTGGAGTCAGGACATCTTGAATAGTGAAATCACAAATTATTTTAAGCATTGCACATCCCTTTAAAAGGAGACCCATCCTTAATTCTAGAGCCTTTCATGAGTCAGTAGGAGCCGAGATACAATATCAAGGCATGACACACAAGGCATGCAGGTGCTGGAAGCAGTGGGAGATCAAATATTTGAACACTCTTCCATATCAAAGAAACGTCTTTGCCTGTGGAAATCTAGCATGTCAAGGTAGTGTTTGAATCCAGCCTTCTCTCTGAAATGCTAGTCACAGACAGGTGAACCCAGTCACCTGCACTTACCTTGCAAAAATATTTAAAAAGCAGAACAAGCGATAAGACCTATTTGTTAAATAGAATGTCACCCGCATGTCTAACAATGTAATCTACGTTACTTAATGCAAGCACAAGAACAGACTTTCGCAAATGGGTTTTGGAGGAATCACACATCAGCAATCTTGGCAAAGAAGCTCAATCAACCTCCTTTGAAACATTTTAATTCTGATGGTCACTCTGACTTGGAAATGTTACTTACAGAGAAGGAATGGGGAACCTGTGCCCCCCCCCATGCTGTTGGAGTGCATCAGCCCCAGCCACCATGACCAATGGTCAGGGATGATGGGAGCTGTGGCCCCCAAAACAGAGCAATAATCAAATCCAGAAACATTAAAGGGGAACTGCTGTATCTAACACCTGATCAACTCTTATCTGGGTGATCCTATATTCTTCTTATATAGTAATGGAAAACTCATTTTTCTGAGTGTAGGTCCCTATGTAGCCAAAACAGCACCATCCACAGACAAGTTAGAGATATCTGAAGACATGGGAGAAGTACAAAAAGTGCTTAGAGGGGAAACAAGAACAGCCCAATGAAGACGGAGAATGTTTAATACCCACAGAATGCTGGTTACCTATTGTGATGGGGAGGGACAGAAAACTGCAAGGGCAGGTATGGAATGGAATATAGTGAAAAAGGGCATGGCTGGCAACCTGAACAGGAACATTCTGCACTGTAACATTTTGTTGCTGATCCCACTTGCAACTCTTCATTTCTATGTGGGGCTTAAGTTTACTTTAGAAACAAAACAAAACTATCTTTCATACACCAAACTCCTTCCACCTTGATTGCTCTTAAAACTGTTGCCTTGGTTTGGTTCCCAGCATTCATTTGAAGCCTCAAGAACTGCTATCGAGGAAGGAAGAAACAGGAATGTTTAATTAAACAGTGCTAAGCCTGTATCTGGACGTTCATTTATTTGCATATATAATCATTTAGTGTTTGATCATATTCTTCTAGGGTCCAGAGCCCTGGTTATTGGTGGAATTGCTAAGCCCCTTTTTTATGATATGAGCCTGCTGATTGCATACGTTTCAGCTCCCATTAATCCTAGGTTTGGTTATTGTGACACGTGGCTACACCCTTGTGTTGTATTTGGAGCCTGCCTGCCCTTCAGAGAACAATGGCAGCGAACGCAGCTTCCCTGATTTTTGCAAGATTGGTTTCTTGCACCTGCCCATACTTGGACTACCTTATCAAGGAAGCGGTTGCTCCTGTACGTCACAGATGCCGCTCCAAAGCATCAGGGTGGCTTGAGTGACCTTCCTTATCCAGTGGATAAGGCGATTATGCCAAGTTAAGCACTCGGCTCAGCTTTCTTTCTTGCACAAGTCGGTCTCCATCCTGCACGCCTCTAATGCACAGAGATCCCACTGACCACGCAAAAGGGGAAGAGTCTCGTGTACATATATAAAATTAGGCCCAGCAGCATCAGTGCCATTATAGAGATCCCTGCAGGGACATTATGAATCGGTAGTCCAGGGCTCCCCAACCTAGGAACAAAGGAAACTTCCTTGGTCCACCCAGGTCAGTATTGACTCTCCCGGTCCTATCTAGACGTGCCAAGGATTGAAGCTGAGATGCTAAGTAGCCCCTGTTCCCCAGCTTTTTGCCACAATGATAAACTAGTGAATGGACAAGTCCACAACAACCCAGACTAAGGAACTTGCTTCTTTTAAAAAAAAAATTTAGGAAGCAGAAGCTACCAGATTTATCCTCAGAGGATATATATTATGTGCTCTATTATATTATCAAAGCCATATAGATTCCAAAATCCAGCGAAGAATGGCAGGCATGCTGCCCAAGCACAACATCAAGGCTGGATTACTGCAATGTGCTTTTGGTGGGGCTGCCCTTGGCTCAGAAGCTGCAGCTGGTGCAGAATAGGGCAGCCAGACTGCTGATGGAGGCAGCATTGTTAAAACACCTGCACTGGCTGTCCATCTAGTACCAAGCCAGGTTTAAGGCCCTTTTATTAATTTACAAGGCCTTGAACAACTTAGGTCCGAGGGACCTTAGGGACACCCTGAATCCTTATACCCCACATTGATCACAGGGGTTATCTGCAAGAGCATCACCAGTTGTTCCTCTAGTTGGTGAGGCTCCTTTGAGAGCAACAAGGAACCTAGCTTTTAGTGCCGTCGGTTCAGTCTTGTGGAATACAGTGGTACCTCGGGTTAACTACTTAATTCGTTCCGGAGGTCCGTTCTTAACCTGAAACTGTTCTTAACCTGAAGCACCACTTTAGCTAATGAGGCTTCCTGCTGCTGCCGCGCCGCTGCTGCGCGATTTCTGTTCTCATCCTGAAGCAAAGTTCTTAACCTGAAGCACTATTTCTGGGTTAGAGGAGTCTGTAACCTGAAGCATATGTAACCTGAAGTGTATGTAACCCGAGGTATCACTGTACTCTGTCAATGGAGATTCAGCAATCACCTACTGTCATCTGTCATCTTCTAAACACCTGCTGAAAACTACTCTGCAAGGCTTATGAAGGAAATTAAGAATCCACCTTTCCATAGCAGTGAGCTGATTTCTGAGTTCAAAATTTTCTATATGGTTTTTATTGTATCGATTCATGTATTGAGTGTTGTACAGGCAGCAATCATTTTAGGCGTGTCTAATTGATGTGCGATTGTCGACACACAGGTCCTTTTGGACCCGGAAGAGGGCAGAACAGGGGTGGGGCATACTTATGCACACTCAGCCAATGGACACGGGGGCTGGGAACGGAAACGCCCCCATGCAAAATGGCCGCCTGTAAACCACTCTGATTTTATGAACAGTGGTATGTATTTTTTATAAAACACACACACAATGGAGAGGACCATTGCTCAGTAGTACATCAGCCTTGCATGCAGAAGGTTCCAGGTTCAATCTCTGGCTTCTGCAGGTCTGCGAGTGACCCATGCCTGAACACTAGAGAGCCACTGCCAATCAGTGTAGACAGTATTGAGTTACAGGAACCCAAGTTCTGACCCATTACAAGGCAGTTTCCTATGTTCCTGAGGCATAAGAGCAAGAGACAACATCTTCTTCCTCCACAACCCCAAGGGGTAGGGAGGGAATCAGTTTGTTCAAACTCCTAGGGCCAGCTTAACCAGTATCCCAGGTATGTATAAAAATAAATCCCAGCCACATTGTAGCTCATATTATGAAAGCTGTCAGGTTCTTCTATACTTCAACCCTGGCATATAATGCCTACCTGGGACTTTTGACTCACTATACCTACATCCAGATCACACAGCCCAGCAGGAAACAGCTAGAAACTATACATACAAACTTTCAGTCCAGCCCCGCGAGCATGAGACTGTTCAGATGGTCCCAAATATACCAATAGGACTTTTGTTGCAGCTCTGGCTGAACAAGAGAACCTCAGCACTGACTGTGGGGGAGCCAAACCCAAACATCTCTCACCCCAACAGTGCCATAACACTGATTTTAGTTCTTCCACTTACTAGCACTCAAAATACAGAAGAGTGTGCCTAAGAGAAAACAGCAAGCTATCAGAAAACAAGAACTACTTTAAGGATTAGCTCCCTCTCCCCCCTGAATTCTAAAATGTGCTTTCAGGCATTATCTTCAAACCAACAATAATCAATGGTTTCATTAACACTGGGCAACGTAACGTCGATTTACTGTTCAGGGAAGTCCCAGGTGTACTGGAGCAACGATTCCTGAAAGACAAGTTTGTGTGTGGTTTAAAAAGATGGGTGGATGGTTGGCATCCATCTGTCTCGGGAGACAATGGAGGGGTGCGCCTTTAAGAGTGAAGTCAAACCACTGGAGAGGTACAGCACCTGCTGTGGCTGTAGAGAATGATACTGGAGAGACAGGATTTGTTGCAGCTGGGGCAGAATGTGGTAGATGATTTTGTCTACCTGGTTTCTACCACAAGATGGGTTGATATATCCCAACCTTCCATTTTCAAGCCTGGTCTTCAGAGAAAGTGGAAACATCCCTTTAAGTATGATTGCTAAGTGAAACTGCCATGTTCAGAGGCGGAATACCCCCGAATATTGGCTCATAGTGGTGGCAGAATGGAAGGGCTGCTGCCACCTTCATGCTTGACATCTGGCTTTCCTGTCAGAAACAAATACTGGCTGGGTGAATTTTTGTTCCGATTCAGCATCATATCACACATTCAAAAAGTGGCAGCAATGGGAATCTTTCTCTTCCTGTGCCACTTCTCTGAGTCTTTGGATGCTATGAATGACAAGCTATCCTGATCCCTGAATGGTATGTTGGGGAAATGAGTCATAAAAATGAACTGGTGCTGCTTAGCAAGTCCCCTGGCATCTCTAGATAGGGTTGGGACTGGAACATTGCTTGCCTGAAAAAACTAGGGATCAGCTGCCAGTTAGTGTACAGTCTAGACATGGGCCAATGATCCCACTCAAGATAAAAGGAGCATCCTTTGCTCTCATGTACAGTAGTGACGTTGCTGGAGGAGGTTGTGGTTAATTGCATTTCAAGTGCTCACAGCCTTGGGAGTGCAAACAGGTTTTGTGTTGTACACAAGTGTTTTCGTCTCATTGAATGCACCTCGTCTGCAGCACGATATGCCAGTGTTTCCATAGTGCAAATTTCCCTGGAGTTGACACCTATTCCAGCCTACTCCAGCATGACGTGGGTCTATCAACTGATCATGATTGTATCCCGCCCTTCCTCCAAAACACCGAGGGCAGGAGTTATCCTATTTTCCTCATAAAATCCCTGTGAGGTATGTTGGGCTTAGAGGAAAGTGGCTGGCGAAGGTCACCCAGTGAGCTTCGTGGCTAAGGAGGTCTTGGAACTGGGGTCTCCCCAGTCTTAATCCAGCACTCTACATATCTACTAGGCAGCCCGGGGTATTCATTTCCAATGTGACCTGTCTTGAACACATGGCCTTGTGAACCAGACCTTTGGAAACTTCCCCCTGCCCCATGCTAACCAGATCATGAAACACGGACCCAGATTGGGTGTCAATGGTCCTTCAGGTGCCCGTTGGTGTTCAAGTTCATCTCTTTGCTCCACCGGCTCCTCCAGGCATGGTACTTCTTCATGCTCTTCCTCCGGGCGAACCGGCAGATGCTGATCATGAAGACCCAAGACACGGTGTACATGATCACCCCGCCGACCTTGATGAACCACTTGGGCTTGGGCGACATCAACACGCAGTACATCAGCCATGCCCCGACCCCGATCCTCACTCCTGTGAAGAGCACCACAAAGAAGAAGTCCACCACATCCCCCGTAAGAGTGTGGTAGAGCCCCTTCTCCCGGAGGAACCAACGGGCCTGCAGCAGCGGGTTGGTGATCTCGCTGCCAAAGATGACCCCGTTGACCTCCGCGGCCGACTCGCCCAGGGCGAGGGAGACGGTGATGCCCAGGATGCTGACGGTGTGATGGGCCAGCATCAGAGCCCCTTCTGCCTGGAAGTAGACACACCAACCAAGGTCGAAGAGGAAATAACCCAAGCTCATGCAGAGCGCATGGACCTGCAGGGTGGTGTTAGGTGACCCTGAAAGGAAAGTCAAAAAGAAGGTCAGACTAAGGCTGGGCGATCAATATATCATCCAAAACCGGTTTGAAGTCCACATCCTTATATCAGTTTCATAATTTTTGACCTGGCAATGTATTGTGAAACATGGTGTATGTGTGTATGTGTGCTACGCAAAAATCACAATGTGGGGATAACCATGAAGCCAGCCAATGCCTCTACATAAAAAGGTAAAGGGACCCCTGACCATTAGGTCCAGTCGTGACCGACTCTGGGGTTGCGGTGCTCATCTCGCTTTATTGGCCGAGGGAGCCGGCGTACAGCTTCCGGGTCATGCGGACAGCATGACTAAGCCGCTTCTGGCGAACCAGAGCAGCGCACGGAAACGCCGTTTACCTTCCCGCTGGAGCGGTACCTATTTATCTACTTGCACTTTGACATGCTTTCGAACTGCTAGGTTGGCAGGAGCTGGGACTGAGCAACGGGAGCTCACCCAGTCACGGGGATTTGAACTGCCGACCTTCTGATTGGCAAGTCCTAGGCTCTGCGGTTTAACCCACAGCGCAACCCGCGTCCCCTGTGCCTCTACATAGGGCCATCCTTATTTCAGATGCTGTGATATACAGTGGCACCTTGGTTCCCGAATGGCTTAGTTGACAAACAAATCGGTTCCCAAATGCCGCAAACCCAGAAGTGTTCCAGTTTGCAAACGTTTTTTGGAAGCCGAATGTCAGCATTGTTTCTGGGGCCAAGCAGCCAATCAGAAGTTATGCCTTGCTTTGCAAACGTTTTAAAGTTGAACAGACTTCCAGAACGGATTGAGTTCGAGAACCAAGGTAGTTCTGTATTGGTATATCACGATGCTGAAAACCAGATATCACCCATCCCTAGGTCAGACTGCATCCAGCTTGTAAGAAGCTGTTTTATATTAAGCCGGGCTATTGGTTCATCTAGCCAGTAGTGTAGTGGCAAATTCAGAAGTCTTCATGATACTCACAGCCTTCTAAGATTATACAGCTTTCTAAGTTTATACAACACAGGCGTCCCACCCACTCCCACTTATACTGGGGTTATGTTCCGGCCCGCCATGCATGTAAATGAAATCGCATAATGTGGGGAGCACCCTTTAAACACCATCTCTGCCACTTGTAAAAAAAAATTAAAATGCTGTATCCAAAAATACCCACAACTAGAACTGAAGCTCTGGGGCTGGCAGCAGACTGGAGGATGTGCAGGAAACAGGCCGCTGCTGTGCTACCCTGCACATCAGCTGTTAGGCAGGGAGGCTGAGCAGCCTAAACAAAGACCTGCTACATCTCCAGTCTCTGCAGGGCTTCCTCCACCCTCAGTGACATCCTCTTTGGGCTCCGGGGGGGGGGTCTCCGCATGAGCCATAAGGACTCTCCAACTCCTGCCATTTCTGAGTAGGAATTTATTTATTTATTTATTTATTTATTTATTTATTTTCCTGTGCTGCATGTGTACATAGTTGCACACAAGTCGAGTGGGGAGAATACCTGCTCAGGCAGTGACCGTTTTAGGCACGTGCTACATGTGCGCGACTGCACACGTGCACATCGCGCTGAACCCTGAACCACCTGAGCTATTTTCAATTCCATTTCCAATAGTCCCTTATGTCTACTTTGCTGTCGCTGTCCCCCCATTGTTTTTCAGCCTGTGTGGAGCCAACGTCCGATCTAAGGTGAGGCGGTTGCAGCGTACCTGGGTAAGACATAGGCCACGGGCCATCGATGAAGCTGATGTAGCCGGAGAGGCAAGTGGCAAGGACCCCGTGAGTCAGAGTGACCAGCCTGCAGCTCCACTCGTAGGTGCGGCCTTTGAACCAATGGCAAGACCACGTGTAGAGGGAGAACCAGCCAATCAGGCTGAAGGCCACCCGAAGGACCATGGTAGCCACCATCCTGTGTTGGGATAGAGGGGAGAAAGAAGAGGATGAAGTTAAATCCCTCAGTTCTTGCAACTAACCAGAAACACCCCCCAGCCCCTCAGAAGATGCGGGATCACTTGCAACCAATCGCTCCTGCTAGTTAGAAATTAGCCAGGTGCCAGGAGCATTACTGGTTTGGATCCAGCTGTGATTTCTGGGTGCCAGGTTGACAACCACTGTTCAAAAACCTCTGCCTTAGTCCATGGTTAGTTCCATTTCCACTGTGTGTTTTTTTCCTTCTTGCATACTGGGGCAAGTGAATTGTTGTAAGAGCAAGCTACAGTCAAGCAATGTAGTTAAAATCACAGAATCATAAAGCTGTAGCATTGGAAGAGACCCCAGTGCTCATCTAGTCCAGCCACCTGGTGAATAGACATTCCATTGTGGTGACCATAGCCCAGGTTCATTTGAACCTAGGTTCGAGGGGGCCATATCTTAGTTTCTATAACACTGCTTCTAATAGCAATCTTGGGTGATGGGTGTTGTAAAAAAGAGGCAAGGGAAGCTTTTGAGAAATGGGGGTGCCAGCATTCTCTGGGAAAACCCCAAGGTTAGCAAAGCACAAAGAGCCTGAAATGCTGGTCAAGTTATTTCCAATTATTTATTTCCACAAATTATTTATTTCCAATAACTTTTCACTAAGTGTTAAGCAGTACTCTGTATCCTTTGTTTTTTTTAAATCCTCTGCTAGTTAGAAATTAGCCCAGCGGCGGCAGAAAGGCAGGCAGGCTTGTGTAAGGCAAGATGTCGTCTATTCTGATCGCACACTGTGCAGCTTCTGTGAGGACGGGAAACTTACTAGGTTTTTAAAAGGAGGGTTAACCAGTTGCATCTGTTTCCACTAGCAGTGTTTCTTAGATAGTGGACTGAGACCTACCAGTGAGCTTGGGGGGGGGGGCACTTTCACATGCCACAGCTTGCCCAGTGCCTCCTCACTTGCCTGCCCCAACCCCTAGCCTCACCATAGCCTCTTGCAATGGACTAAGTTGTTGAATGGGAGACAGAGAAATTCAGAAGGGAGAAAAGAATAAAGCTCTCTCTCCTCTGCAGGGCCAGAAGAAGTGTAGAAGGAAATTACAAATTGAGATCAAAGGTTAGTATTGTTAAATATACATACAGTGGCACCTCGGTTTATGAACTTAATCCGTTCCGGAAGTCCATTCTTAAACCAAAGCTGTTCTTAAACTGAGGCGCGCTTTCCCTAATGAGGCTTCCCGCCACCCTTCCACCTTTTGACTTCCATTCATGTTGTTGTTTAGTCGTGTCTGACTCTTCGTGACCCCATGGACAAGAGCACGCCAGGCACTCCTGTCTTCCACACTTCCATTCATAGACCAAGGTAAAGTTTGCTAACCGGAACACTACTTCTGGTTTTGCGGAATTCTTATACCAAATAGCTCATAAACAGGGCTGTTCTTAAACAGAAGTAACACTGTATATTATTAGTATTTTTATTATTGGAATGACAACAGATAAATTCGAAATAGAAAGGAGGAGGGGAAGAAGGGAAAACTGTTATGGGAGGAAGAATAAAATGTAAAAGAAGGGGTGAAAGTAACTGGCAGTTTGGGGAGGGCAGTTAAAGTACAAGTTAAGCGTGAAATGAAAATGGGAGAAGAAATTACAGGTGATGGGTAAAAATACTTGGAGAGGTAAGTGAGGTTGGGAAGGGAAAACTAAAAGAAAAAGCCTTTTCCCCCCACTTACAGCCTTTGGATCAGCAAATGCTGCCTAAAATCGGGAAGGTGAGGCACAGAAGGTGAGATTTCTCCCCACACCACCTCCTACCTGAGCCATTTCAGTGGAGGTGCAACAGGTTCGGGGGGGGGGGCTTTTCATTTCAGCAATTTCTTAAAGGGAAACCGAGCTCCTCGCAGCTGAGCTCTTAAGTCCCTTCCTTTCCCCCTTTCCTCCAGATCCGTGGGGAGGAGGCGCGAGACCCTTTGCACGTGCTTCGAGCTTCTCTTATTGGATGCCTCGTCCGTCTTCAGGGCCGAGGCATCCCTGGCGTTGCAAAGAAGATCCGGGGTTAAAACCCCGTTGGGAATCCCGTCTTAATGTCTGGGAAGCGCCGCGCGCGCTCTCCGCGCCCTCCCTTAAAGAGGCTTCCGCCGCCTCGATGGAGCGCAACAGGAGGTCCCCAGCCTGGAATCCGACCCCGTCTCTCCCCTCCGGCCCCAAAGACCTTCTCCCGCCCTGCAGAGCCCCCGCGCGCTCCTTGGATAGGTTACCTGGCCCGGAGCGCCGACGGGGCTACCGCGCCGCTCCCCCTCCCGCGGCTCCTCCGCCCCCCGGGCAGGCGAGGCGTCTCCGCGTTACGATGATCGCCGAGCCGGAGGCGGCAACGACGGCGGCGGCAGAAAGGCAGGCAGGGAGGGAGGCGGAGAGGAGCCGGCTTAGGGTCACCTGCTGGTGGGGAGGAGAGATCGCAGCGCCGAGGACAGGGTGGGGACAAGGGGCCGGCCCGGGAAGGAGGGGAGAGCCTGAAGCCGCCCACCCCCTCGGCGTATTCGGGGGAAGGAGGAGAGAGAAGGGGAAGAAAAAGGATGGAAGGTGGCGAGCGGCAAACTCTCGCCGAAGGTCGCTTCCAAACGAACTGAGCGTCAACCCCACAAGAGCGCCCAACCCTAGTTGTCAGGATTGTCAGATGTCAGTCAACCAATGTCAGTCCTGCTCAGAGTAGGCCCTTGAAGTCAATGGACATGAGCCACTTAGATTCATTCATTTCAAGCGGTTTACTCTTAGCAGATCTTAACTGGGAACACACCCACCCCACCCGTTTCCTGGCGTGATCGGAATTGGTCGGTGCGCATGTGTTAAGAAAGAAAATGAGCGGGTGTCTGATTATCAATAATTTCAGTAGGCGGGAGGTGTAGAGAGACGCTTCCGTGCCTCTTGCCAGGTCTTCCAGGAACAGAGAGCCCCGGCGAGGAACAAGTAAAATCTGTAGTGCAGGTGATCACTCAGGTGAGCAGGACGTGACCCCTTCGAAAGACTTATCCAATCCTCCCTAAGCAAGGAGGGACTTTGCACATACGTTAAGGAAGGTTTCCAGCCGGTGGGGTGGGATAGGGGGCGGAAGCGGAAAAAGGTAAAAGGCGGATCTACACGGATCCTCATGAATTCATATGATTTTTTCATTCAAATTAAATAAAACCACCATGATACTGTAGACCATGTCTTACTCTGTAGGCAGCATCAAAAAATCACGCATCCACTGTTTCGGGGGCCGCAGGGGCGCAAAAACATGGTTAAAAAACACGGATCCTCATGGATCCTCATGATTTTGCACTAGATCAGCCCAAAGTCACCATCAGATCAAACATCATCGCCATGGGCACAGAATCCACCACAAAAATCACGGATCCACGGCTTCGTGGGAAACCGTGGCCCAAAAACGTGGTTTTGAAGCACGGATCCTCATGGATCCTCATGCTTTTTGCATTGGGCCACCCCTAAATCACTGTCA